TTTTGTATGTTTCCGGTAGTTCCTGGTTTTCCGGTTGTTCCGGCGTTCCGGATTCCGGCATTCCGGGGTTTACAAACACCATAAAGGATGGACAGCTTAGCATTAAGAAGGGTACAGTATTGCCCTTAAAGATTTCCCCGAATGCGAAGGCGAGTGAAATAAAAGAAARAGGTGTAGAAAAGCACCATAGGTTCAGTGTCGACATTGTAAAGACAAACATGCCATGTGSGTATAAGCTCATATTTCGGAAAAGACGAAGATTTCGTTCTAAAGACATTTTTAAATGTCTAAAAAAAGGACGAACTAGGAAAGCCTTACACCAGAATTTCGTTTTATCTAGTTTCCAATAGYGATTATTTTGAACACATCTCCCAAGGCTTTTCTAGTGAAAATGAATCAAGTGATGCTGATGCTGATGCTGACGAGAAAAATGACGTCAATAAGACCTTATCAACAGGTAGCACAATGGCTTCAAATACCACAACCCTAGCAAGACATAGAAGTGTTACAAAAGCAAAAGTGATCCATGTAGACATTGTAAATGAAGAGGATGACCCAAGACCTTCCACGTCTGGCAATGTCCTGTGTGCATGGAGAGCTATCCATCCAATGAAATTGAAGAGCATGCAGCTAATTGTTCATCTTGGCTAGTGGACAGTGCGCAACCAGAAGATCTAATAGACGAAGATGAACCATCAGAAGTTCAAGACAATCCACCTGACTATTCAGAATTAAAAAAAGATTTGAAAAATGAAGTCCAAAGATTATCTGCAGGATGGTGTCTTGGAGAACCAGTTAGAATCACCATAAGAAGGAAACATCTCTGGTCAAACTTTAAAAGTGCACGAARAAAACTAATTAGACCCAATTCTAACCTGAAAGTTGTTTTTGTGGGCGAGCCAGCAGTGGATGATGGTGGACCTAAGAGAGAGCTCTTCTCAGGTAAACTGAAATTGGTGGATATGTAATTAAGTAAGGCCTTAGTTCCCTTGATATGTGTGAATTTCATGTTTTGAAAGAGCCATTGTTCCTGCRTAGCATCATATGTAGTAGGGTTTGACTAATGCATTGCATACTCCCCTTACAAAGTTAAAGTCAGCAAGCCTGCAAACCCCCTTTTGTGTCTACTCACCATTATTCTACTATGGAATATGATTTGTTCAATKTAAGAACTTGAATGCAACATCAAACTAGCAAATTGGATATATACTTCTGTTATGTGCTTTGTGAGTAACTATTTAMCATTTTTGTTGCAGAACTGCTGAGTGTTGTGAAAATGAGATTCTTCCCAAATGGATTACCAATAACTTCTTCAGTTGCTTTAAGCAATGAAGATTTCAAATTGTGTGGAGAAATCGTGTGCCTGTCAATCTTACAGGGYGGGCCGGCACCCAACTTCTTGTCAGATGARGTCGTGGATTATATCCTAGGAAAGAAACTTTCCCCAAGTGCAGTGAAAGAGAAAAGCTTTAAAAGTGCAGTTGACAAGGTACATCTTCTTCTTCCCACTTTCACTAGAAGATTCTTGTGAGCATCGTACTAAACCCACTTCATCATTATCCATGATCGCAAAAAGATTGTAGTATAGACATACATATGTTTACAAATATCTTATTTTTCAGCATATCTATAACTTAGGAAGGATAAAAAATGAATGCCTGAACAGCTCTTTCTTGTCGATAGCTTGTTAATGCAAAATGGTACAGAAGTCAGGGAAGCCCTTGCCAATAAGTTCTCAATAAGATTGGCTATACATGCATTTCACAGAGAGACAACATCCTCTGTGAAATCAGTAATTCAGTAAGTATGCTTCTGGCTCATAGTAAGTGATATGTCAAGCCGATTGTAGCAAAATGTAATCCATACAATATTGATTCAATCCCAAAAAAAATTGTGATTCAAATCTATAAATATTTGTTTAAATGTAATCCTAAATAATAATATTRCGAAACACCTTCATTTTTGTGCCGAAAGGCCTTATTGGGCCTCTCGTCACTATGCTATCGGRTGTGTTTCATTCTTTTCTTCCAAAATATGAAGGTTTTCGATTTGGCTACTGCATTTATTGGACATTAGAGCAGAGAATATACATTTGAAGATGTATTTTCTTTTTGAGAATTTTTTTTAAAATCTGTCAAAATGTACTTGTAAAACTAGCCAAGAGTTTTCGATCATCTCAACTCCTATAACAAATCACAAATTCTATCAATATCTTTTGATGTCATGRAATATTTTGAGGAAATTGCACAGCTATTTTTAAATAAAAACAGTACAAGACAAAGGATTTCACACCAATTTTCCAAATTTTGTTTGCAAACTATTTCACGTTTGTAATGATTGAATTCTATTATTATAATGTAACTATTTGGCCTGAGTCACATGCAGTCCTCGACAGCCTATTTTTTAATATTTATAAAATTCACAACATGACATAAAAACAAGGGCATTTTTTAGACATGGTCTTCCACAGGAAGCCTGTGTAATAATGATAGCACAATATTAATACGTGGAAAGAGGGGAGAAAAGATGGTTAGAGTGGGTGTTTTGTGATGTACTAATAGTGCAATAATTTATAGCGGAGCTCCCGCGCGGGCCTTCGGCGAGCGGAGCACCATAACTAAGGAAAAATGGTAAACCAATGGAGTTGGGTTTTGATCAACCGACACAGGAAGCCCAGTTGTCCTTCCGTACGTCCGTCCGTGTACATCGCGATTCTGTTTGGCTACTTTTGAGAAGGCGGGAAAAGGAAGCGCGCTCGCGTCAATGTTTGAAACAACTTTTTCACCACAATGACTCCATTTTTGTCTTTGAAATACTTTACTTCTGCGCCAAATGTCGGAAAATCAACGGGTAGCTAACGGAAAGCGATCTTTATATGAAGAAGAACAGACAAGAAGAAGAGAAAGAGAGCGTCGAAGAGGTCTAAGTGAAGAACAACGCAGGATTGAAAGGGAGAGAAAACGTGATAGACGAAACAATTATGAAGACTCAACAAATCGAGAAACAAGTGAACGCCGAAGACAACGATTATTGAGGGAGAATTTCTCATAGGAGAACTGACATATTCTCCGACGATACCGTGGAGTTATTAAACAAATGGCGGTATGTTAGATTATATGTGCAAGCGGTTTTTGGTGCTCAATTATATCAATTCTTCTACTTCAAGAACCTTAGGCAAATTTAGTCTGGTTTAAATTTGCTTTTGAATTTGAAAATCTTTACCTGATACACTTCAAAACTTCTCAATTAAATGAGCTTGTTGACAATGAAAATATGAGCTTGTTGACAATGAAAATATGTGTGAATTGTGTGTACATTCTATCCACAATAATAATCTTATTTGACATAAAACTACTCGGATGTTTTAATTTAAGGATAAAACTATGCATTTTGAAAAGAGAGCCTTGATATTATTTGAATGTTCAGATTTGTACTCTTTATTCTTCAATAAACTCTTTAATACAAACTGTAAACAAATACAGAGAGCAAAGATAAGCAAAGAATTTGAGAAGTTGAAAAATGGATAATCATTATGAACATTAAGCTTATGATTCCTTTAATTGTTTACAAAACTGTCAAAATGTATTATCATTTATGATCACTGTATGTCAAAAATGTATTGAGGTAATTAGTGTCATTACTGTGTGATTAAATTATTATTACCTATGTTTCCTGAATGATTGAAAAATCACCAAAACTGTCAAATTGCATAAATGACCCATAAATCATTTTTTTTTATCACTGTATGATTGACAGATATCAACTGCCAAAATGTATTTATTATTATTTATCATTCCTGTGTGATTAAATAAAGGATATTACATGGGTGCATGGAAATATTGTGCTAACTCGTGGGATAAATAAAAAAAAACTTGAACTCATATCTTCAAGCAACAGCTGTAATGTTCTGTTTATTAAATGACATTGGTGTAAGCAAAAGTGTGTAACATTTTAATTATAAGATCAAAAATTGTGAACATTTCAAGAACATATTAATTATTAATTTATGATTTATGCATGATTGAATAATACCAAAACTGTCAAAATGCATTTATATTATTTTATGATYCCTGTAAAGATTGAAAAATACCAACAAGAATTTACAACAAAAAATTGCAAACAATTTCAATCTATTGACAT